GTTTTATCCTATGCCATTTAAGGATATGAAACTAGATCTAAACATATGCAAAAATATATATAAATACAAAATAAAATGTATTAAAAGTTTGTGTATTAATAAATAAATGATAAGCTGTTCAATAATTAACGATACGAATAATTAACTTACCGATTCTCTAGGTTTATACTCGTATTTTTCGGTAATTACTTTACGATTTGTTAATGGGCTTCTGGACACTGATCTCGGTTGAAATCTTGGACTCGAAGATCCGTGATAATTAGAAGTTGGTGCTATTGTTTTATAACTTGGAGTCGAATTTAAATGGGCAGTAGTCGATTGCAAATCGGCCAAAAGAGCATCTGTAACAATGTTAATATAATAAGTCACTTGATTACAGTATTGAATTTTATTTCACAGTTTAAGATATTTAAAATGTATCTGAAATGATTAAAGATAATTCTCTTTAATAAAATTTAAATCAATTTTGTTGAAATTTTGAGGGGTTAAATTTAAGATAATTTTATCCGAAGATTTGGGCTTATTCGGTAATAAAACTATTTCCGGACTGTCTGGAGAACTTCAAAATGATTATCAAGTTGACAGGAAAAGCAAAAGTTTACCGAAGACGAGTTATATTTAGTACGAAACGTGCACATTTTGAGTTTGCTTCGGTCGTCCTTATTTGGTTGGAGTGTATTAGTTCGTTTCGTGATCACCAGAATTTTTTAATATTTCATATTATTAAAAATTACTTAAAATTTTTCATTAATAGAAAAACCAACAATCTGTCTAAGTAATTTTTTTTCATAAATAGTTTATTATTACGATTTATAAATATAAACGCAATTAAAAAAATTCCAAAGCATATTACTGACAACTGAAAACTACGCCATCTATATTCAAACAATTTTAATGATGGTTTAATATCGCGCCATCTGTGAGATTCTAAAATAAATATGTGTGTATATATATATTTTTAATGAAATAAGTTTAATGTATTATTAATTAATGTAAAAGATGTTTACTTTTATTCGCATATTAATTAAAATAATTTTACTGTGTAATTCATATAGTAAAACAACTGATAAAGTATTCGTTATATTTTAATTTAAAAAAATGATTGAAATAACAATTTTGTTAAATACAAGACAATTCGTCTACATGTAAAAAGCTATCAGTTAACGTAGAGAAATGGTCTTTTAAAAATAACGACACTTACTCATACTTCGACTTTCGTATATCGATGGATAGTATATACAAAAATTTATATTAAAGACGTCAATTTATCTAAAAAAATTATTTAAATGCACGTGTGAAGTCTTCTTAAAACTTTAATGAAAAATTTTCACCTTCATAGAATTCGTCAATACCACGATGCATTCACACGATGCATTCACATAAACATAAAGTCATTGATAAATATAAACGGTATAAATGAATGTGGGATGATAACAGGCGTATGCAGCACACCCAACATGTCCCACACACAAAATAAAAAAAACTGTTTATGCAATTATTAGATAAATATTTACAGAAAAAGATTAAGATTTAATAATTTCTTAATTCTCAAAATGAGAACATTCAACTATTACGTAAACATAATATCCTTCATTTTCTCCCCATATAAATTACTGTAAATATTTTTCTATCTAAATTACAATAGACTGTGTTGATTTGCCCCCTTTGTATTCTTATTACAATACGGCGATACAATAGACACGAGATTTTATAATATCAATTTGGTATAATAAAACAAAGCTCAACACAGTCGTGGCCCGCGAAGTCCTAATATGCTTCCCCGGGATTTTGACAACGTAATTTTATTTTCCTGTTTTCTGTCTCCTGTAACCTCATTTAAGCTGATATTCATGACGAAGAACATTCAAGCTAAACTTGACCAGTAAAAAGAAGAGAATAAACTATATATTGCTAGTTTGCATATCATTAGCATATAGGCTATTATATATGTTTTCTTAGTTCCTAGTGTACTGGAAGTTACGGAGTATGTTGTTACTCAGTAGGCTTAAAGAAAAACTGTATGCGCCGGAAGCCCATAAAGTTTCCTTGAGCTTCTTATGCAGAAAAAATTGCTCATTACTGCTCTAACATTTAAAAACTGAGATTTATTATCATGTATAACTTAAAATTTTAATTTATAAATTTTTAATGCACTTACACTTACAATTTCAGTATTTATAACATTTCTATATATCTTTGATTATGTCCAGGAAACGATCATTTTTGATAATTTCCTGAACATAATCAAAAGTCGTCTTAAAAATATGTCTTGCACAAGCGTTGATTCGACCTTCCTCTCTCCAAATAAACAATTTAGATGTTTTTTCATTTCTCCCTTTAAAGGAAACAGGTAGAAACATTCTTCTCAATACGCACCTTTTTTTAAATGTAAAACTTGAATGTTTTCAAAGGAGATTAAAGCAGAAATTACGAATTATTAAACAAATAATCTATTAATAATGTAATAATTACCTCAAAACTACATGTCATTTTAATTCAATTTAATACAATCACTGTACTTTAAAACTGATGTATCGTATTTTGTTAGACGTTGCGCGCTGATGTTATAACCACTGTAAAGATTCCTAGTTCTAATTCGATGTAAATTTGTTAAATTCACATGGATTTTTTTTTTTATATTGAAAGATCTCATTCTCATCTGTCACTGATATTGATATATTCTATTGCATTTCAGATGCGTTGGCTATCTGTTTATAATAGGCAAAATTGCCTATTATAAACAGCCTATTGTGCGCTGTGCTACACGTTACAAATTCAATTTAAATTAATTTACGATCTACTAATTTTATGTATAAAAGTTTAAATATATTCTTTTTAATAAATGAAATCAATGATTTACAAAGAATTACTAAAAATTCCATTCAGTTATTCCTATCTAAGTCTTCTCGATTACAGTATTGTCAATTAGATATAAACATCTAACATCTTTGCAGTATTTAAAATTTCAGGATTATAAAAAGCATTTCAATATATTTAACAAAAGCATGCTGTATATATTAAGTATAAAATACTGTATTAAGAATAAAATATTCTATTTTTGCATATTGTATTTATAAATTATATTCTAATCTTTTTACCATGAACTATTTTGAAAATTAATTTTCTGTTCGTTCAAAAATCAATCCTTTTTAGGTTTGATTTTTTCACAAATAAATAAACAATTGATTCAACCATTTTCTGAGTAATTAGCCATCGCGCAGCTATTTTCAAATCATATTCTTTAATTTTAATATGCACGTACAATGTTAACTTCCTTTACATGAATCCTACATTAATTCAACAATAGACTTATAAATAACAGACAAGACATTCCATTATTTGCACCTATTTGTGTACCCATTGGAAAATTTAAAATATTTCTTTAAATTATTTATATTTACGTTTTATTTGCCAATTTTTGAATTATTAAAAATAAAATTCTTTCGTATTTTCGTATTTATATTATTCAACTTCATTAAATTGTTTGCTATAACAATAAATAGGTACAGTTAAATACTTTTAATCACACTGTTTTTCAAAATATCCTCTGCACAAAATTCTGTTTTCATATAAAGATTAATTGCTACAAGATTAATTTATTTCAATTCTTTCATAAACACATTGTAATCTCGCTAAATTAAACTATTTCGTTCCATATCAGGACATTTTAATCACGTTTTATCATAGATTATGTCAGACACACAATACTGACGATCGGGGAACCGGACCCGACATATCCGGATCAGCTTACTCCTCAAAATTTCTAAATCGATCCTATCAGTCTATAAAAACAAAGCTATTCAACTTGATATCTCGCGGAGAAAAGCAGTCCACAAAGATTTTCATGCATATAATTCACAATAAATATAAATTGCATATAATTATAAGAGAGAATACGAAAATATTTTAAATGTAAGTTTTATCTAATGAACCTTTTTTAATAGCTAGACAAATAAATTTATTACGAATGGCACCGGCACACAACAGTTATTCTTAAAGTCTTAAATTACTATTATTAAAATGTCAGACGGATGAAAGCATGCAAAATATTATCCATATCCGCGTTAATTTCATGGGTCGTTCAAGTCGCGATGATGTTCTCCATCATTCAGTCATATTTGCCAGGAAATTATACCAAGAAGCAGGATCACTGATATTAGGTGAAGACGTGGCCAAATATGTAACTTATGGATTACTGTCATCATGTTAAAATATTCATTTTGTCTTCATTAAAATACGAATATTTATGTACTATACTTCATTAAAATAAATATACAGTACATAAAACAGTTGATGTGTATTGTTATTTCGATGGATCTTACAAATCCAGAAGACTCTATACTCTGAAATCATCACTTAGAACAGTGTTTTTCAACCTTCTTGAATACGCCACCCCTTTACAAGTTAAAAAATTCTGACGACCCCCAGGGCCATATTAAAACTATATCAGTGATTTTAAAAACTACGTATTTAATTTTCTTTCTTTAAATATCGATCGAAAAACCAATTGTACTGTAAAATAAACAGGCACAGCCTTCTCACTGAAATTCTAGTTTTTTTTATTGTAGTGTAGGACTTACAAACACTTGTTTTTTTCTTTAACCCGCGACCCCCCGTGTAAGGCTTTGCGACCCCCTGGGGGTCGCGACCCACAGGTTGAAAAACACTGACTTAGAATATGATTCACGGACCGTGTGGCGCCTTCATTAATTACGCAATGCTAACTCATAATAATACACAAATTCAAGTTTCATGGCAACCTATATTTTCCGCATGGTACTAGCCAGTGATGGCGAACCAGTGGCCCGCTTGACGATTTCAAAGTATCCGTATTGAATGTTTAGAAAATATTACTTTTTATAAATTATAAATATATATAGGGGAGACCGGGGCAACTTCGGCATGCGGGGCAAGTTTGTCAAGCGCTTTTTTTAAAAAAACAAATTAAAAGGAGACTTTGGTTATAGGTTAGGCAGTTGAGTTTTATTGGTGGCTTGTTGAGTGTAGTGTTTTTATTGTTCTCCAACAAGCGTAGTTGAATTATCAAGCAAATTTTCATTTTCGTTCAATTCCATATAATATTTT